CTTTCACTGCCTTTCTGCACCCCCCTTTCTTCATGTGTTCAATACAAAATAGTTTTCCCTGCATCATTTCATTTTATTACACTGTAAAAAAAAATCAGCGTTCCACACAATTCCTTCATGTTGTCCCAACACAAATGCTTTAAGTTAACTTATCTGTTTATATAAATTTAAGTTGATTAAACAAAGCAATTATGTTATTCACCAAAAACAAAAACACAAGAATTTTGTTGTTTCAGCTCATTTTTAAAAAGCAGTTTGAACAAGCAGGATTTTTTTTTGAGTGTAGACATTATTTAATTTGCAAATTATTTAATTTTGCTTTTCTTTGTAGATAAGGATTTGTCTGGCCGTTACCAACATCCAATAAAAAATTCAAGTCAACAGCATCAGCATCATATGTTTTTTGAGAAAAAGGGTGAAGTGTGAAGTAACACACACACACATCTACCAGTCTATCGGCCTGAAGTTTTATAACAGTCATTCACAATTTGGAGCATGATTGAGCTGTTTTATGAAGAAATAATATACTATGTGATATTTACAAATATATTACATATAAACTATATTAAATATACAGTATAATATTTAAATGTATTAAGTATTATATATATATATATAATGCATGTAAATATCAGTGTTCTGAGTATTTGTGATCGTGCTGCAGATCCCGCTGTTGGGCCGAGGAATCGCTCTGCATGGCAAAGGAGTGACGGATGATCTGCGGCCGTTCCACGAGCGCATGGAGGACTGTTTCAAACAGCTGCGCAAGAAGGTGGAGAAGGAGTACGGAGTCAGAGAGCTGGTGAGAATCACAGACAGCAGGCGGAGATGATGCTGAAGCGATAAAAGTGCAGATTTCAGCCTGACCTTCCTCTTTTCAGCCGGATATGGATGAGCGGAGATCCACCCGTCCACGCTCGATGCTGCGCTCGGTGCGTCAGTCCATCTGCTCATTGGCTGGATCTGAGTGCGGAACGCCCACTAAGACACGGCCAGAGAGGTGACCACGCCCACACTGACGCGTTCACTGTTGCATACTAGGGGTTTTTCTGATGTCTGTTTGCTGATTGAATTAGTTTTTGTATGCAGATATATACAGTCAGGTCCATAAATATTTGGACATTGAGACAGTTCTAACATTTTTGGCTCTGTACACCAACAAAATGGATTTAAAATGAATCAAACTGCAGACTGTCAGCTTTGATTTGAGGGTATTTACATCCAAATCAGGTGAACACTGTCGGAATTGCAACATTTGCATATGTGCCTCCCACTTGTTAAGGGTCCAAAAGTAATTGGACAGAATAATAATCATAAATCAAACTTTCACTGTTTAATACTTGGTTGTAAATGCCTGAAGTCTGGAACACAGAGACATCAGCAGACGCTGGGTTTTATTCCTGGTAGTGTTTGCCAGGCCTCCACAGCAACTGTCTTCAGTTCCTGCTTGTTCTTGGGGCATTTTCCCTTCAGTTTTGTCTTCAGCAAGTGAAATGCAAGCTCAATCGGATTCAACTCAGGTGATTGACTTGGCCATTTCATTACATTACACTTCTTTCTCTTCAAAAACTCTTTGGTTGCCTTAGCAGTTTGCTTTGGGTCATTCTCCATCTGCACTGTGACGCACCATCCAATGAGTTCTGAAGTATTTAGCTGTATATGAGCAGAAAATATTGCCTGAAACACTTCAGAATTCATCCTGCTGCTTTGGTCAGCATCACATCATCAATAAATACAAAAGAACCAGCTCCACTGCCAGCCATCCATGCCCACGCCATGACACTACCACCACCATGCTTCACTGCTAAGGATCATGAGCAGTTCCTTTCCTTCTCCATACTCTTCTCTTCCCATCTCTCTGGTTCAAGTTGATCTTGATCTCATCTGTCCAGAGGATGTTGTTCCAGCGCTGTAAAGGCTTTTTTAGATCTCTAATCGGGCCTTCCTGCTTTTGAGGCTCACCAATGGTTTACATCTTGTGCTGAATGCTCTGCATTGACTCTGGTGAAGTCTTCTCTTGATTGTTGACTCTGACACGCATACACCTCCTGGAGAGCGTTCTTGATCCGGCCAACGGTTGTGAAGGGTGTTTTCTTCACCAGGGAAAGAATTCTTCGGTTGTCCACCGCAGTTGTTTCCGTGGTCTTCCGGGTCTTTTGGTGTTGCTGAGCTCACTGGTGCGCTCTTTCTTTTAAAGAATGCTCCAGACAGTTGTTTTGGCTATGCCTGATGTTTCTGCGCTCTCTCTGATGGGTTTGTTCCGTATTTTCAGCCTAATGATGGCTTGATTGACTGAAAGCGACAGCTCTGTGGATATCATCTTTAGAGTTGACAGTATCAGATTCCACATGCAAATAGCACACTTGAGATGAACTCTGGAGCTTTTATCTGCACGTTGTAATTGGGATAATGAGGGAATAACACACACCCGGCCATGGTCAACACACATACAGCTGAGAAGTCAATGTCCAATTATTTTTGGACCCTTAACAAGTGGGAGGCACATATGCAAACTGCTTTAATTCCTACAGCGTGCACCTGATTTGGATGCAAATGCCCTCAAATTAAAGCTTGATTTCAAATCCATTGTGTATAGAGCCAAAAATGTAAGAATTGTGCCGATGTCCAAATATTTAGGGACCTAACTGTATACTTTATAAAATGTATTTATATACAATTATGTGCATTTGTGTGTGCAGTGTGTCTCTGGACAGTGGTGTTCCTCCATCTCCCTCCATCATCCCTCGCTCCAGTGGGAGTGTCAGTGTGACGGATGAGAGCGGTGTGGAAGTGGAGGTGATCAAGACGTTCCTCCGTTCTCCCAATCACAACAAACGCAATCTGGAATGCACCAATGACCGTGCACCATTCTCCAGAACGACATCATGACGCTCAGGTGTTTCTGTGGTTGCAGGTGAAACTGAGGAAGTCGAAGAAGAAGCAGAAAAAAGGTCGAGGCAGCATGATCTTCATCAGCGAGGAGAAGGAGCGCAGCAGCACCCTCGACAAACGGGTCGGAAAACACACACACTCATCACTCATGCATTTAAAGGGGAACCTATCCTGCTAACATCACTTTGATTAGTGGCTTTGTTGTCTTGCTTAAGTTTTTAGTTGATAGTGAACGTGCTAATATTATTGTTGTTGCTTTAGCTGTCTAAGAAGCAGGAGTTTCGCAGTGATACCAATCTGTGTGAGTCCACTGAGAGCAGCAGCGGCCTCGTCAACTCCAAATCTCTGCCCACTATTACTGGTAAAACTGCTTCATATCATTGTTATCATGGGGTCACCAATCTCCTTCCTGGAGGTCCGGTGTCCCTGCAGGGAGTATCTCCAACTTGCCTCAACACACCTGGCTGGGTGTTTCAAGGATACCTATTAAGACCTTGATTAGCTTGTTCAGGTGAGTTTGATTAGGGTTGGACCTAAAATCTGCAGGACACCGGCCCTCCGGGAACAAGTTTGGTGACCCCTGTATAGATCTTCAGTAACACTAAATATTTGACATTGATATATACCTAGAGTGCAAAATAAATGAGTACACTCCTCACAGATCTTTCTTTTAAATGTTTATTTTATATAGGATGCTTTACTATAGTACCTTTGTTGACTCATCATGTGTTAATGCTATCCCCAGGTCTGGCTTTGTCAGTAGCCAATGGGAGCGAGGAGGCGGAGTCAGCGCGGTCCAAACGGGACAGTAAGAGTGTGTCTGTGTGTCTGCCGTCAGACCGCACAGGAGACCGGCGCTCTAAAGGAGTCATTAACCTGCTCTTTAAAACCAAGGTAACACACAACAACAACACCAACACTGGAAATACTGTTATTATGTGCCCTGATATCAATTATTATGGATTATCTTATTCCAGAATTGCGGGTACATTTCAAGAATTTTTTTATTCATTTTCTTTAAACTGGAGTCATTCAACAAATGTATAATTTACAGTAAACTGAATCCTTCAGTAATGTAAAATACTAAAAAAGGCAACAGTGTGGACAAAAACAGAGTTGACTGTATCAGAGTTGACGACAATAGTTGACAACTGTAGAATTGACAATAACAGTTGACAACAACAGAGTTAACAACAACAGAGTTAACAACAACAGAGTTGACGACAACAGAGTTGATAAAAATAGTTGACGACAATAGAGTTGACGACAAAAATAGAATTGACAACAATAGAGTTAACAACAATAGAGTTGACAACAATAGAGTTGACAACAATAGTTAACAACAATAGAGTGAACAACAATAGAGTTAACAACAATAGTTAACAACAATAGAGTCGACAACAATAGAGTTGACAACAATAGAGTCGACAACAATAGAGTTGACAACAATAGAGTTAACAATAATAGTTGACGACAACAGTTGATGAAAATAGTTGACAACAATAGAATTGACGACAATAGAGTTGACAACAATAGAGTTAACAACAATAGAGTTGACAACAATAGAGTTAACAACAATAGAGTTGACAACAATAGAGTTAACAATAATAGAGTTGACGACAACAGCGTTGATGAAAATAGTTGACGACTATAGAGTTGACAACAACAGAGTTAACAACAATAGTTGACGACAACAGTTGATGAAAATAGTTGACGACAACAATAGAATTGACGACAATAGAGTTGACAACAATAGAGTTACAACAATAGAGTTGACGACAATAGAGTTAACAATAATAGAGTTGACGACAACAGCGTTGATGAAAATAGTTGACGACAATAGAGTTGACAACAACAGAGTTAACAACAATAGTTGACGACAACAGTTGATGAAAATAGTTGACGACAATAGAGTTGACAACAATAGAGTTAACAACAATAGTTGACGACAACAGTTGATGAAAATAGTTGACGACAACAATAGAACTGACGACAATAGAGTTGACAACAATAGAGTTACATCAATAGAGTTGACGACAATAGAGTTAAACAATAATAGTAGTTGACGACAACAGCGTTGATGAAAATAGTTGACGTCAATAGAGTTGACAACAACAGAGTTAACAACAATAGTTGACGACAACAGTTGATGAAAATAGTTGACGACAACAATAGAATTGATGACAATAGAGTTGACAGCAATAGAGTTACAACAATAGAGTTGACGACAATAGAGTGTGAAGACAATAGAATGGATGACAACAATAGAATTGACGTCAATAGAGTTGACTACAAAAGAGGTAACAACAATAGAGTTGATGACAACAGAGTTGATAAAAATAGTTGACGACAATAGAGTTGACGACAACAATAGTATTGATGACAATAGAGTTGACAACAACATTGATGAAGTTGATGAAAATAGTTGTCGATAAGTAACAACAACAGAGTTGATGACAAAAGAGTTGACGACAACAATAGAGTTGACAACAACAGAATTAGACAATAGAGTTGATGAAAATAAAATTAATGACAATAGGTGATGACAATAGAGTTGACAACAACAGAGTTGACAAAAATAGATGATGACAAGTTGACAGCAATAGAGTTGACGACAATAAAGTTGACGACAATAGTTCACAACAATAGTTGACGACAAAAGAGTTAAAAACAACAGAGTTGACTACAATGGAGTTGACGACAACAATAGAGTTGATGACA